CAGCAGTTAAGAACACTGGCTATTCTTCCAGAGGACCCAGGTTCAATTCCCAGCATACATATGGCAGCTCATAACTGTCTGTAACTCCTGTTTCAGGGGATCTGACACCCTCACACAGACATGAATGCAGGCAAAATACCAATGCACATGAAATAAAATAAATTATTAAAAAAGTAAATATCAGGTAGTAGTCAGGAATTAAAGTCATGAATAGAGGCCCAAATGAAGAATGTCTTCATTATAAATATGAATCAAAGGATAATGTACTTAAGAGTAATTGTCAGGTCATCATGTGCCCTGACAAAATTCCTTGCAAAATTCATCAAAAATTACATTTATTTAGTGTGTGTGTGTGTGTGTGTGTGTGTGTGTGTGTGTGTGTGTGTGTGGTGTGTATGTGCACATGTGCCATGACGCAAGCGTGGGGACCAGACAACTCACAGGTATTGGTTGTCTCCTGCTATGTGGGTCTCAGCTATTGCGCTCAAGTTGTCAGGCTTGGTGGCAAGCACATCTTGTCTGCCCTCCTTACAAACCCTGAAAGTGACAGTGGCCTGCCAGTGAGCTTGGCATGTTTCTTAACTTGGGCTCTGCTGCAAAGTTCTAAGGGATAAAAGTGGCAGAGTCCCTTCCTCCGTAGACACCAGTTCCTGTTTGCTTTTCCGTCAGACACTGGGGTCAAGATGAATGCTCTCCTATTCCAGAGAGGTGAGTGGTTGTTAAAAACCCCCGTGGAACCATCTTGACAAAGAGGCAGCATGATTACGGTGTAATTCTAAGTGACCATGACTGCTGAAGGGGAAAGATTTACTCTCACGGTCTCACAAAGAAACAAAGGCCCTCAGAATCCAGTAGAGAAAAAGCACAACCAGGTCACAACTTAGCGGCGGTGGGTAGACACCTGAGAAGAAAAGGATGAGCAGATAGGCGCCACAGTACGGCACCGTACCCCAAGACCTCACCACGGCTGCATTAACAAGCCCACCTGCTCCCTTTCTGTGGCGCACACTCTCTGACTGGTCCACTGCCCTAGCAGTTCCTGGTGGGGACAGTCAACTTCCCAGATAAGTGTTCTGCTGGCGTTGGCTCCGGTTTAAGTGAGACACGTCTCCCGCAGGAACATGTGTTTGAACATTTGGTCTCCAGCTGGAGGAGCTGATGTGGGACGGTATGGAACCTTCAGGAGATGGGGCTTACTTGGAACATGTTGATAATTGGAGGTGGCTTCTTCCTGTCACTCTCTCTCTGCTTCCTGTCTGGCTACAGGATGGTAGTTGCTGCCTGCTCCCCTGCCACAGAGGAGCCCCATCCGTCCTCACGCCTTCTCACCGTGCTTCGGTCCTTCGGAACCATAGTTCAGATCCCTTCCCGCCGGTTGCCTCTGTCACGTTTGTCTTGTCAAGTGATGAGAGCAGTGACTAACCCGGCTGGGGAGCTCACCACTGCTTTAGCGACTGGGTGGGATGGCTGCTAGACACAAGGCGTCTCTCTCCAGCACTCTAGCTAGCCAAGGCAGAACCCGGATGGAACTCTAAGGGAGCACTTGAGTTTATACCCCATTAAAGCTCCTGTTTGAAAGTTACAAGCTGAAGCCACATCTAACGGTCATGACAGTCTCTGGTTCTCCCCCACACACTAAAAATGGAAAATTCATTTCATGGTCACAGACCCAATAAAAAATGGCTTCATTTAAAATATCCAGCCTTTCCTTACAAAGTAAATGATTTTCAGGTGTTTATAACAAATCCTTTATGTTTATCACGTTTTATAAACACTGGGCACGCTGAGAAGAGTTTCCTGTGTCATGAGAAATCATAGCATGGACTGGGGGCCTAGATCCTTCTCTGTGACATTTGCTTTTAGTTTCAAATTTAGGTCTGATGTTTTTCTTTTAGAACCGAGGTCAAGATAGGGTAGCAAGTACATTCCTTTTCTTTTTAAATTATTGCAAGTACCATTAAGATGTTTAAATCATTATAAAAATGCTGCTAAATCTTATGCAAATGATTTAATACAGATTGATGAAACAAAAATTGCACTTTAAAAATTGTGTACATGAATAAAACTATCTTGTTAGCTACTCTGTTTACAAACTCCTGTGACCTCAGGTCAGAGATGTTACAGTGAACTCTGAGGAAAGTCGATCTCGGTGCCCACCGGAGTCACAATGTAATCTTGCAAACCGACCTATATTCTTGTCAAAAGACCCTAGGAACCCACCCAACCTCAGGGATGTATCAAATGACCTCTAAGGCTCCTCCTCTCCATGAACACCTATGAAAAGCACTCGTTGATTACGGGTATGAAGAAATTCTGAGATAACCAAAGTTGATCACAAGCAGCGCAGGATTTGGGGTGATACACTAAAACATGAAACAAAACATTAACCTTCCCCTGCCCCCGAAAAGCTCTCAATCTTCCTTAGCAGGCAAGGCTCCAGTCATAGTCACAATGGGACTTCTCAATACTGACATTCCTGTTCATCTGTCACCAGCTACAAAACAGCAACAATAATAAAACCCAAGCGATGCTAGTTTCCAACCTCTGGATTTGGTTGCATAAGTGACCCTGGGTGTGAGTGCCTTGATGAGCACACAAACCAGTCAATCAACAGACATTTGAGCTGCCGCAAGCCGGGCAGGACCGAAGTTCAATAGGAAAAACTCAGGTAGTCGTGTTCCTGATACAGATCAATGTCGATCATGAAGTTACATCAAACCCATTGCTGAGCTCTGACATCACTAAAGGTGTCTAGTGCTTGCTAGGAAGGGTGCCGTGTACTTGTTATTTATTTATTTATTTATTTATTTATTTATTGAATATCCTTAGGGAACCTTTGACATGAAGATAACATTTGAGGACCTCAAGTCATCAAGAATTCTGCAAATATTCTAGGATCTCTTATTGAGTACAGGTATTTCTCTGCATTGTGCCCGCAGGTCTCTGGAAGGTTCTGTAGAAGCACAGCACAATCCAGTCCTGCAATATCTGGGAAGCCAAAGGGGGACCTCCCTTGGGAAACCTCTGTAGCAGCAAGGACCCTTTGTGGACAGCCATTCAGATGTCTGGGATGATCTGTTGTCAGTTTTCAGGCTGTACACATCCTGGCTCCAGCCTTTTGGACTGCCCTTCATGCACCCTACCCAACCCGTCCACGCAACTCCATAGAACTTGTGTACTTAGGCCATCTCAGGATCCACATCCTCACTCTTGCTTTCTCTGGGATGCTCCTCCTCCCAATCTCTCTTCTCTTCTTTATTTTATTTATCGAGATAGGGTTTCTATGTGTAACTTTGGCTATCATGGAACTTGCTCTGTAGACCAGGCTGGCCTCCAACGCACAGAGATCCGCCTGCCTTCTGAGTGCTGGAATTAAAGGTGTGTGCCACCACCACCTGGCTTCTCTGCTCTTCTAGTTCATGCATATTCTTTGATCTCATTTAAAATGCCATTATCTCCACTAAGGCGTCTATCATCCATCTCCCACTAGGAGTTTCTCTTTGTGCTCTGAATCGCCACACATGCTATCTGTCTCTTCAACTGTTCCTCATCTTTTAACTTGGACATCAGCATCTTCTTTCATTTGTTTCCTTCTAAAACTGAATAGTACCAGGTCCACAGTCCCGGTCTTCCTGATGTTTGTATTTCTAGCAGCTGTCCCAGTAAACTTCACAGGTTTGAAAGTGGATTTTCTACAGCTCTAGGGTCTCAGTGAGGTGTCTAAAGACCAGTTAATGGGGGAAGCATGTGGGAAGGGGTATCTTTTCATTTCTGTTTTTTAAAAAGTATTTATTTAAAAAAAGATTATTTTATTTGTGTGTGTGTGTGTGTGTGTGTGTGTGTGTGTGTGTGTGTGTGTGTATACACACGCATGCATGAGAGCATATGTAGGCCCCAAAGGGTATTGGAACTCCTGGAGCCAGAGTTACAGGCAGTTGTGAGCTGCTGGGAACTGAACTCGGGTGCTGTGCAGGAGCAGCGAGTGCTCTTAACCTGTGTCTCCTGTAAAAAGGGATTCTGCTAGATAGGAAAAAAACAAACAGAAAACCAAAACCAAAACCACTGTAACGAGTGTCACAATCCATGGAGAGAGTGATCACGGGTGCTGCCTCTATGGCGTTCTCCTCCAGACAGAAAGAGATGCAAAGGTCAACTCAAGCAGCAAAAAGGTACAGAGTGGCCCTCAACCAAGGAAGGCGGTCAAGGACAAAAGAAAGGTCCTTCCTCCTGTGTGTGTTGACTTTTGATTTGGGGGATGCTGGGGATTAAGCCCTGGGCCACACGCATGCTAAGCATGGGCTCCAGCACTAAAGTTACAAACCCAGCCCCTGAACCATCCTTTTTACACTAAAACTTGACAGGCACCTCATCCAGCTCTGAATTAAACTCCAAGAAAACAACCTCTGGTTCTGCAGCATCTGTGTGCCTGAGACCACCCCACATTCTGATCTCAGTATAGCTCAGGGACACAAGAGTTACTGGAGACACAGGTCTCCTGTTTCTCCTGCCCCCATCTCAAGCACGGAGGATGCGCTGTCCCTTCAGACACAGCACCGGTTTCTACCCGGCAAGCGGTCCCGTGTCTCCAGGTTCCTCTTCCCTCCTCCTTCCACACCCACTTTGTCTGTGAATATGGCTGGTCTACCTATAAACCATATTCTGAGCCTCATTTGTTCCCGTCTCCATCACTGACAGCTGCTACAGGTATAAGTGTATGCAGCTTACACCTGTTATGACTGCCCCTTTCCTGGCCACCTAGCGTCCTCTGTCTCTTCCCTGTAATCTGTATTCCAGCCAATAGCATGTCAAGTTTAAAGATCCCCATTAGATGCTCTCAGAGATTCTCAGCCGACATAATATAACCCCATCACCTGCCCACTGAAGTACCTGGGCGTTTCACTCCAAATAAGTACGTTTATTCCTTCTGGTGATCTTTAATTGGGAACTTTTTAAAGACTGGGCAGAAAGACCGGCCCACCACTCACACAGAAGTGACTTACGGCTTCAGATTTGGGAGGCACTGGAGGTGGAGGTAGGACGATTTCTGAAGACTTCATCGTGGCTCCCAGGGTCGCAGGGGCAGGAAGAGAAGACGTTGCACATTTGGATCGCGTGGAGCCTCTCAGGGGGTCACATCTGCTCTTCTCACTGAGCGAGCGAGTGAGAGGCTGGTGAGTAGGTTTGCCTTCCTCCAGCCATAGCTCTTCATAGGGAACTTCCGGCTTCCCTGGGATGCCCGCTGACTCCTCATTAGCTTCCGGGAAAAGGTAGTCGCTTCCACTGTCACCAGAGTCTTGATAGGGGAGGATGTCGTGGGGAAAAGGGGCCCACTCTCCCCCGAGGTCCCGGCAGCCGTGGAGGTTCACCTCACTGTTGCCGTGAAGATTGTTGCCGTACACACAGACGGAGAGCCGGTGGAAAGACTGGGTGAGCTCGTCGCGGGCGTAGCTGAGGGAATTGGGCAAATGGTTGTGGCCGGAGCAACGGCCCTTTTTGGGACTCTTACAGTCTTCACTCCAGTCCGTTTTCACATCGCGAACAGCCCGTGAATACTCATCAATGTCAAACTGCTCTTGGCAGATACCAAGCCAGTGATGGACCAGGGTTTCCGGCCACACCTCTCCCTTCACCAGGTGTTCCGGGAGGCTGAACTTGGGGACCGTCAAGTGCAAAGGGAAATGCATGGGGAGGATCTTGTTGTTACGGAGAACGCAGCACACCACTACCGTCTTGGTCTGGATGTTCACAAACTTGTAGCGGTGTCCTTCTCTGATGAAGTGGAGGTCATAAGGGTTTCTGGGTGGAGGGCTGGGCACCGTCACATTCACAGGGAGTCTCGTCTTCTCCACGATGTTTCGGATGGTGTGCTCCCCTTCCTGCATCTGAAGTTCCAGGGGGCTTCGGGTGCTAAACCTGCCCTTGCATTGGAATGGAAGGCTGATGCTTTCATTGGTCCGGTGATTCATGCAAATGAGGCAGGGCATTTTACCTTTCCCCAGCTTGCTGATGGAATTGAGCTTCCCAATCTTTTTGAAAATTGTGTTGAGTCGAGACTTCTCCTTGAAGGTCTTCGCATAAAGGATTTCTGCCTGCCCCATTAGGGTGAGTTCATCCCCAGTACACAGGGTGATGTTGTAAACTTCCGTGTCTTCATTGCATTCACCCGACGCAACCTACGACGTGATAAACCGAATTCCACATTAGTGAAGGCAAACACACCTGCCAATGCTATGCTTCACTTTAAATGTGGATGATTCAGTTGTATTTACGTGGCTGACAACAGCCACGTTTTTCTACTTGCTACATACATTATTTTGGAGAAGAACTTGAGTGAACGCTGCCAAAAGCTTTCTTGTTTTTTAAAATAAATTTTTATTTATTCTCTGACAGTTTCAGACATGTCTAAATGCATTTTGATCAGAATCACTTCCGTTTTCCTCTCTTAGTCCCCATCCCTCTCTCTAGAACAGTTCTCCTTCCCAATATGTTCTTTCCTACTTTGTCTTTTTAATTTTTTAAATAAGCCACAGAGTTAACTGGGCTTGCTTGCATGTGAACAGGTGTGGGGTTATTTGCTGGATCACGGATGGTTTGATTTATCAGTGGCCATACTCCTGAAGGGAGATAACTCCCCTTCTCCCAATTGTCATTAACTACCAATAGCTCCTCAGCTAAAAGAACACTCTTGATATAAGACAATATTAATTTAGACTTTAATTTAGTTTACTATTGTTTTTTATCTTGGTCTTTTAGAGATATGGCCTCACATAGCTGGAGTTGGCCTCAAATTCACCAGGTAGCTGAGACCACCTCCTCCCTCTAGGTCCCGAGTGCCAGGATTAAAGGCATGTACCACTACTTCTGGTTTTACATCAGATCATTAAAACAGTTTTACCCCTATAGACAGAAAGAGGTCTACTTGATGGATAATTATTTTGGAATATTAACATTATCTTTTTGCTACTATAAATAACATTTCCATTAAACACTATAGAAAAGAATTTTCTTTCTGCTATTTAAAATTTTACTAAAGTTTTGCCTGTTAAAAATTTCCTAATTAATAAGTTTTTAAAATTTGGAACTGAGACAAAGGATTAAAAATATTTGTGTGTGTTGCTAGATATGGAACCCAGGCTTTGAGCAAGCTAGACAAGTGGTCTACCACCAAGTTATACACCAAATTCCTAAAATGCTTTATTTCTCCATTTAAAAATCATTATGCGAAGTATTCTATGTTCATTGGAAGAAATATAAAAAATAAAAATAACACAAACCTATATTACTTTCCTACTTCATATCATCTGTCAAAAATCTTATATAAATAGAAAAAAAGAAATGCTATGTATCAGTTATCTCAGAGAGATGTAAAGCCATACATTTGAGTTTTCAGCTTCAATCTCTCCATTTTCCCATGTGCATACTTCACTAATAATAACAATCATCTAATGTATTTATTACACAAAGATGGGCTTTATTATTTTTTGACCAGTTCCCTTTTGTTCAGAAAAAGGGTGGCAATTATAAAGAGTACTGCAGTGAAAATCTTCACAGTTCAATGATTTCCAAAGGAAGCGGCAACAGAATCAGAACTGTGAGACAGCTATGTGCATCTGAGGGGACAGAGGACCTTTGCTTATCATCCGTGCTGTACATATACATCATCACCCTGAAAGAAAAGTGTGCATCCTTAGTTTCTTTATTCGTGGTTTGTCTAAGAGCTTTGGCTATCGGGAAGCGTGGGGTATTAACTCATTTCTTTGGGTCTCTTCTTAGTGACTCTTTTTTTTTTTAATGTAAGTAAATGGATTTCACACTATATAGTTTTTGACTTGTTCCTCAGTTTTAATTTTGTAGCTTCTCTAAATGATTTTTTCTTTTTTATAAAAATATAGACAGTATTTCCAGAATTATCTTTTGTGACTTATTCTGGGGTGCTATGCTTCTGGCTGAGGAGACAGAGACCAATGGTTTTAAACCAGGGTGATTTTACAGCCCTCCCAGGAGACGGGTGGCAATTTCTGGAGACATTTTTGTTGCCATGACGAGGGGAGCTGCTTTTTATATCTCTGGGCACAGTCCAGGGTACTGCTAAGTACCAACAATACACAGGGCAGCCTGTTGCCCGGCCCCCAGAAGAAACTACCCAGTTCAAAATTTCAATCACAATTTAGTTGGGAGTTGCTAGTACAATTACCAACAATGCTGTCCAGCATGTGGATGGTTTCATTTACTATTAAATCTACTTAACTGAATTTTCTTTGGTGGATTATGTAATGCAGGGATCTAACTTTATTTTTAAAGTTAATGTAGTGTCTAGTATATTTCCTAAATAATATTCCATTCATAGTTGATTTGAAGTGCCATCTTTAATATGTGTTAAAATTCACAAAACAAATACTTAAAGGTTTATGTTCATGTATCTATTTTGAGGACATTCATCATAGTCATCTGCCCCACCATAGTTATACTCTTTACCTTTTTCTATCTTTATAATCATTATTTATAGTTGATAACATATCTCTTGTTTTTCTGACTCAAAATCCCCACTAACGCTGTCGTCAATGCTTTCCTGGATCAAGAGAGCTGTCCTTCAGGAGTTGTGGTCCTGGAGTGGTGTGTGTGTGTGTGTGTGTGTGTGTGTGTGTGTGTGTGTGTGTGTGTGTGTGTGTGTTGCTGTTGTTTTGCTAAATGAACCGGGTGTCAAACTTCTCTGTAAATATTTATGTTTCTACCCATAGATTAGTCTCGCTACTAGCCTTGGTCAGGAAGTGTCTGTTTGCAATGGGCACCAGTTAATGTAGAGACTTCTAACTTGTCAAAGTGCCGAGACTAACTAACTGTTGAGTGCTCAGCCTTCAATGAGGCATCTATGTCTTCATCTGACATTTTGGAACACTGCAGAAGAGTGTAGTGGAAAAACTGTAAGAACTGGAAGGTGGGGAGGCCATGACCTGGTTCTAACACCCATGAACTTACAACAGTGGCTACCTGCACAAGACCTGTTCAAGGATGGGCCCATCACCCTTCCATCAGGGATGAGCTTATCCCTCTCTGAGGAGCAGTTACAAGATTGCAGGGAGAAAGGGGGTTGTTGTCCTCAGAGGCGACACCACTGGCAAGTTGCCTTTGCTCAAGTAAATAATATCACCTGTACTCAAGCAGGCAACCTTAATTAAATGCAGAGCAGAACGGGGACTTGTCACAAAGAAAGAGTTCAGCTCAAAGGGAGACAATAAAAAATAATGGAGAGATATCATCAAAGTATACTACATATATGTATGAAATTATTAAAGAAGAATATGGACCATGACTACTCAGGGAGGTTCAATACAGCCATGGCCAACTGGAGGAGAATCTAATCGAGACTCAGTTAGTTGCTCTGGCCACTGCAGAAACCACTGTTTCTTTTCTAAGGGAAAAGCCAGGAGGCTGTTTCAGTTGTTACTCTGCACACTAATGACCCTAGAAGATATTATTTCTACTGTGAAAGCTATTCCAGATGCCCACACCCATGACTGCTCACAGAGGGTGCCTGTACAGACTGGCATGACTGTGCAAGAATGGTGTGGTTAGCAAACAGAAGGCTGTGTACATGTGTGACTGGATATATAAACAGCCCTCTGCTCAATCTCCTGGGGTCAGTTAAGGAGACCTCCCTTTTCTACACTGTCTCCTCATGCCCCAATTAGCCTTGTGTTGCAGTCTAGATTACAACAATTTCTTCTGGAGGCTCCACTGCCTACTGTGGTCCTTTATCATGGGTGGACAAGACGAAGCTTGTGACAAAGCTTGTGATAGACTAAACGGACAACTCTTGGGGCCTGGAGCCAGACAACAGACAGGGAAGAGAGACTGCAAAGACCTGGAACAAAGCCGAGGGAAGAGCCAAGATGGCAAGAGGCTACGGAAGGTGGGCAGACGAGCTGTACAAAACACCTGGATCTAGCAGCTGGCAAAGCTCTAGGTAGTGGCTGGAAGTTGAGCAGCAGAACTGCCTGCTGTCAGGGCCCTAGGATTAGCCGCCATTCTAAACTAGGGAGTGGCTCACAGCAAGGGAGAAGCACACTGCCTACCTGGGACGTCCCCCCAGACAGAGCAACAGAACCCTCTGCTGACCGGTAGCGAGTCCAATAAAGTTCAATGAAATAACATAGAGGATGCATTCAGCAAAGGTGAAACACAAAGATTTATGTAGAATATTCTCTTTTGCTTAGAAAATAGTGCTTATATTTTCTGCTTATTCATTTATTTCCTGTTTTTTTTTTTTTTTTTTTTTTTTTTTTTTTTTTTTTTTTTTTTAAGAAAAGAGGAAACAAAGAAAAAACAGAAAACAATAAAGTGAGTTACTTTTCAAGAAGGTAACGGGAGAAACAGTGTAGAGGGAAGCAGGGTAAAGCAAGACCCTGTGACAGCCTTGCTGAGCCTGGACTTTCAGACGCCACATACTCAAAGCAGCTAGCAAATACTGTGTTTCCTTTAGGAGAGTCTGTTCTTCACGACAGAGATGTGGAGTAGAAACCGAGTGAGTTGAGTTCAAGTGCGTCGTAGAACAAAATCAGTTAGTGTGTGGATGTTTGGGAGTTACAGAGTTTTGGATTGGTGAGATGCCTCAGTGGGTTAAGACACTTGCTATGAAGCCCGGTAACCTGAGTTTGAGTCCTGAGACCCACGTGGTGGAAGGAGAGAAATGACTCCTGCATGTTTTCTTCTGATCTCCACACAGGCACTGTTGTTGAGTGTGTCAACACACACATACAAACAATGCAATAAAAGCCTAAAGAAGATAGCTGCAGTTTTACTACAGAAAAAGAGGCAGAAATAACTTCATAAAAAGCAGGAAGAGTGAAAAAGAACTCCTTGCAAGCTGGTTTAGCATTAGAGCTATCAGAAGACATATACCTATACACACTCTGACAAAAGAACACAGACACTCATAGAGACAGACACGCAGACACATAGGCACACACAGACACACAAACACACACAGGTACACACAGTCTCTCTCTCTGTCATTCTCTCTTCTTATAGCCCAAACCCAGTACCCAACAGGACCTGGGGCTCTTTGAAGAAATAACGACTCTAGGGTGAGCTGGGGGTGCAGGATGAGTGTGGGACATCCTGTTGTGCCAGGAAACACTGTGCTTATAAGATGATGAGGGTATGTCCAAAGAAG